CAGGAAAAGGAACGAGGAATATCTAGATACCAGGATATAATCAGGAAGGTGACAATATTTGTATAAATTAGTGAAAATTAACAGAAATGCTGGAAATACCGGTTCACCAGCTATTCCCTTGTCCCCTGGAGGTCCAGAAGGTCCTTGAATTCCCTGAAGACAGAAAGCAAAAGTCAAATAAATTCACAGCATGATCCAATATTGATTCACCACTTAAGTTTTTTCTTTGTATACTACCATTGACAACTAAAATATCTGAAACACACCGCAGTATTATTTACAGATAACTCAAACATTTTCTAACATTTAAATTATATAGTACATGTGTAAAATTAAGCATATTTACAAAATAATAAAGTATTTATGGTTTTATGTGTATAAATATAAGTAAAATAAACTCACAGGAAAACCTTTAGAGCCGGTTTCTCCTGGCTCTCCAATCTTTCCCTGCAGTGACATAATGATTAAAGCAAAAGACAAAAATATTCAACTCAGTGTTTTTTAATGGCAGATCAAAGCTGACAACTAAAGCATAATTTTAAGCTTGTAATTTGAAAAGAGTCATAATGCATTTGTTTACAGTTACTTCAAATGATCTGAAAAGCATAAACAGGAATACAAATATAGAGACGATATCAGAGAGAACCATGTGGGTTTTACCTTTTTACTTTTGTGTGGATTTTTTTTTATTTTTTTGCTGCCATTTTGTGTAAATCAAAATCTTGTTTACAGTGGTGCTTGAAAGTTTGTGAACCCTTCAGAATTTTCTATATTTCTGCATAAATATGACCTAAAACATCATCAGTATTCACTAAATAAGTAAGTAAGTCCTAAAAGTAGATAAAGAGAACCCAGTTAAACAAATGAGACAAATATTATACTTGGTCATTTATTTATTGAGAAAAATTATCCAATATTACATATTTGTGAGTAGTAAAAGTATGTGAACTAGGCGTTGAACGACAACATAGTTTTAAAGTCTACTTCAACATGATGAAAGTCGAGTCAACGTCAACTAGTCGATGAGATGTCATAGAAACTCAAGACAATATTCACAAAAAAAACGTAATTTATTATTTACAAAAAAAAAGAACAGCAAAACATTGGGGGCGTATATATTTTATCTCCTACCATTCATCATACTGCAAATAAGTCACAGGAAAACCAAAACTATTATTCAGCTGCAAAATTTAGTCTTATTTTATTTAATCCACTAAATAAAATAAACCACAACAGTGTTGCATGGTGGTGCATCCTCCACAAGCGGTGCACGGTGCACATCGGCGGTGGTGCATGGCGGTGGATTCTTCACTGGTGGTGGTGCACGGTGGTGGATTCTTCACTG